ATCGGTCAGGAATTTCCCATGTCTGCTCTTCTGGCTCACTTTCTACTTTCGCATTCATATAATTCAGTCTCAACAACATGTAATAACTAATGTTTCTCCTTCTTTCCGTCACTGGATAAACTCTGGATATGAGGCTCTGCAGAGAAAAAAGTTCATGTATGATTCTGTAACATGGAAACCGTTTTAAAGGCTAGAAGGTGACATTAGGATAAGAGACTGATGCCACGCTCACGTACGCTATAAGACTGGTTAAAGTTGACTTGACTCTGGCTTTAACTACAAAGACGAAGGGGAAACTTTTAACCTGTCCATCACCAGCCTGACAATTCCAACTTTATTATGTGATTCCCACCAGCCTTAAAACATTTTGTGCATTATAACTGGAAACTGTTTCCAACAACAAACATATGGTGGATTTTACTTCCTCCCATGTTATCTTTTGGCTAATACAAACTCAGAAAATTATACATTATATTTTCCTGCAGCTGATGATGATGTCAGGTAACACAACACCTGAAACAACTTAACGCTCATCCGTGTGACCCTGGCGCTCTGGCAGAGGGAGCTGCCAGCTTTGTTTTTGTCTCCGAGTTGGTTTAGTGGCTTGAATTTCATCTGAATCTGTCATCAGGAACACTGTAAACAATGCGGTCTGAAGTGGTGTAATCTCTGTCAGCAGCATGGGGGAGCGCTCGTTAGTTCTTTAGAATGATGAAACATGAGAGCAAATGTTTTCCTTTCTGGGATTACCCGTGCTAATTAAACGGTCATGCTGTTCAAACTCGCTTTGCTATTTTCTAGCTTCTACTTCTACATTTCTTACATTTCTTGATTGAAAAATGATGCTTTGAAGCATAAAATCTTTGGCTGTTTCTCCAGCTTTGGTCAGCCTCTGTCTTCAACCAGGCTCCGGCTGAGAGCTCCTTCTCTGGGTTTGAGATGTTAGTTGTTTGGCGTTGCAGTATCACTGGGGATCGGCTCGTGTTGTGTAACAGAGTTTTGACCTGATGCAAAGCTGTGAGAGTCTGTGGCTTTTACAGAGCTGGCTCCACTTAGTCCTGTGAGGGGGGGTTGAAGGTCCTGTGGTGGCTGTGGTCTGGCCTGGAGCCCAGTTTAGGGAAGAATGTTTGGAGAAGGATGCCTCCTGCTGGTTATAATGTATAATGAGCGCACTAGTTCATAAAAATCTTTACAAATGTGCCGTTTCTGTGATGATACACATCCTTTTGGCATATTTTCCCTAAATGCTGCATTTTAATGTAGAATATCAGAAAGATGAGTACTGTAGGCTTTCAGAAGCAGCAGTGTTTACACTGTTTGACCCAGATAATCAGTGAAAAGCATCCAGATTTCAACATCTGCTCTGGTACGACGAGGAGGCTCTGAACCCCTGGGAGTTCTCTAAAATGTGCAGTGAGGGAATGTGGAAATTGCAGTGAAAAAAGACAACATGGAATCAGTTACATTTTTATGCAGCCAAACAGTTTTCAGCTCCAGTACATTTTGGAGTAAATTGCACACAGTTGTTCCGATACAGGAATTAATTTTGCCAGAATGTGTGTTTATGCGTT